TTTACTGTTATAGCGCCACCTATGGTCCGATATTCATGAAACTTTGCATGCTTGTTAAGAGTCATCGGACACATGTTTTCACCGAGTTTCGTAAAATTTTGAGTTTTTGTTTAGGTTTTATAGGCATTTGGGTATATTTGGCCACGCCCCTTCTCTAAATGACACTGTTAAAAGTAAGCGAAGGACAAAATTCTACACTATTTTGATAATTATTGATCTAGAGAGTCCAGAGAATTGCGCTGCAGTGGTTTGATCGAGATTGAGCAAAAAACCTAGGACTAGTTCGCAAAAGTAGGTTTTAAACGTAATTGAAAATATTTAATGAACGCAATGACACTGCATACCAATTTTCAAGCCGATCGGACAAACGGTTGTGCAGTTATCATAATTTTTATGTTTTTTCCATCTTGTAGTGCCACCAAGAGGCAGAGCGGCGTGGGTTTTTTTATTTATTCAAAGATTGAGCTTGTACACATGTGTACCGAGTTTGGTGAAGATATCTCATTCCGTTCAAGAGTTATAGCTAAAATAACATTTGGATAACGATAGCATAGACGTTTATTTATACGCTGTGGAGCACGAAAATCGAAATTTAAACTTTTTTTTGATAATTATTGATATTCAGTGTCCAGAGAATATTTCTGCAGTGGTTTGGTTCCAATCAGGCGAAAAACCTAGGACTAGTTCGCAAAAGTAGGTTTCGGATTTAACTCAATTTTGTAGGAAAACGGTGCATCGTAGAGCAAAAAAGATCGGTGTGCACTTTTGTTTGCACTGACCCAAGGATAGCAACGATGTACAGTTTTTTAGTCTACGACAAACGGTGTACGATCTACGGCCAAAAATGTCTGACATTTTAGTTTTTTGCGCTGTAGCGCCCCCCCTTTGGCCGATTGGGCCGGCTCTTTGCGCCCGAGTAGCGAGCATGACTACTACCTTTTGACCAAGTTCCAAGGCCTTACGGTTTGGGCTGCACGATCAGTTTTAGGGAATAATAATTGCAATTATAATTGCTAATATAGCTGCAAGCAGCAATTACCGGGGTTCAAGCACATGAAGGCATTTAAGGTGGTATGTTTTAGGCTAGTTAAAATAACATTTGGCTAACGTTAGCATAGACGTTTCTTTATACGCTGTTGAGCACGAAAATCGAAATTTCAACTTTTTTTTGATAATTATTGATATTCAGTGTCCAGAGATATTGATATTCAATGTCCTCCGAAAGAATATTTCGTGGTTTGGTTCCGATCAGGCGAAAAACCTAGGACTAGTTCGCAAAAGTAGGTTTCGGATTTAACTCAATTTTGTAGGCAAACGGTGCGTCGTGGAGCAAAAAAGTTCAGTGTGCACTTTTGTTTGCACTGACCCAAGGATAGCAACGATGTACAGTTTTTGAGTCTACGACAAACGGTGTACGATCTATGGCCAAAAATGTCTGAAATTTTAGTTTTTTGCGCTGTAGTGCCCCCCTTTGGCCGATTGGGCCGGCTCTTTACGCCCGAGTAGCGAGCATGACTACTACCTTTTGACCAAGTTTCAGCTCTCTAGGCCTTACGGTTTGGGCTGCACGATCAGTTTTAGGGAAGAATAATAATAATAATAATTGCTA